ATGGATAGAATTATAAAAAGATTGATAATGACATTGATAGTTGGGATTAACGTTTGAATTATTCTGCTATTGAAGCGTCAATTACGTTGGACATAGATGTGACATTTCGATTTTTAATTTTGAGTTTTTTTATATTTTTAGGATACGTTTTAAGATAGTAGAAAGCGTGTTCCATTTATCATTGAAAAACTATTTGTCGAAAAGAAAAATGGAAAACATGTTGGAATCTGATTTAGGATGGAATATTATGGGTTAATTGGGTGAGTGTAATTTTCAATGTATTAATTTGTTCGTGTGAAACCCGCAAGCATATAGGGATCATTGTACAAGTAATAAGATATGTGAGTTAAGAGTATCATTCTCACAAGGAATAAGATCTAATTTGTAGTTCAATAGTTTTATCAAATTCGAAGTATAGTAACATCAAAAGATAATTGAATTTTGTTATTTATACTAATTTCTACTCGAAGAAAGCAAGTAAATAAAATGTTATATCCAAGTGAATGCTTGTATTTGATTTATGTATCCCATATTTCCATCTATTTCAATTCTTAATAATTAATCTATTTAATTCATGCATTTTTTACAACCGATAAAGATATTATGTTAAATGCTCTCTCCAAAATACACCAGCTTATTATTAACACGAGATGATCTTATTCCTAATCCGAATTCATATGAAAAATAAGAAATTATCATCATTTAGGACTCCAAATAAGTGGTGCAAAGGACGGGAGTGAAGTAGTTTCAGCTGAGCTGACAACTGTAGTGTGAGGGTTCGATTCCTGCCTCTAACAAGGTATGAAATTGGACTCTTTGTGGACACCAGTATGACAGCTCTTGTACTTTGACCTGTTGAGACACATCCCGTAATTTACCTCCTCCACAATGCTTTAGGGACGGGCCGATGAGGGACCCTCAAGATTGGGGTTCAATCTTTTTAAAATATTCCAGGTGAAAAGGATCCACCTTAGATGCTGCAAATATAAAACAGCGCACAGCAAGAAAATTATTGCCCTGTCATATGTTTCGACATCACAAGTACTTAAATACACATGGAGTAAAAGTAATTTGTAACATGTTTAAACTTAACACAATGCTTTAGACATTAGGGACAGCAACTAGGTTAACATATGGCTTTCCAAGAGAGAGTACTCAAGTAAAAGTTTAACAGAATAAGGGCCCAATTAAGATATTCGCCACATGAATAGTGCAAAACAATGGGAAGGATAGTTTACGTAAAGTGGTAACTTCATGGAGCAAGACTCATACTGTGAGGGGATGCATGAAATCTTATATATTCGCTCCAAGTATCTTGCTGTCTAAGAAAATTAGAGAGGTAAAATACTCAAGTTTATTGAGAAAACACCGTAGCTTCTTGTTATTGTACTGGGATTAAGAGAGTTTTTTCACGCATTCGCATGTATTGCCCCCTTTCAGGGAGATTAAATGAAGTGAGTGCTTGTGTGACACGAGGAACTGGGTTGAGGGAGGAAGGAGGGAGGGATGCAACGATTGATTAGTTTATTAAAATTAAATCCCTATATACTTTTTCCCAATTCCACAAGACATCATAAGCATTATTTATCCATCTACAAGTGCCCTGATCCACCTTATCAAGGACAAGAAGAAGGTTGATTCCTTAATACACAAAT